ATTGCATATGATCGTATGATTAGACCTGTTATCACAGCTGCAGGACTGACTGAATATTTTGTGATCTTCAGTGTGCCACCAAATGATTTAGAATTGTTTTCAGTGGCATCAAAATTCATATCAGAATCTGATTTTATGTTGAATTGGCTTATCTTAAAAACAGTGAAAAACTTGAAAGTGAGATAATAATTATTTACATGCATTAAATGGCATAAATAAATTTATTTTTGATTAGATTCAGCACTATTGCCTGTACACTGTAAAAACAAAAAGTTAGAATAACCCCTGCTTGGTTACTTTCACCAGTAAATTGAATAGTTATTGTAACCATTATTTTGTTATCTTAACTACTTTTAGGTTAATTTTAATCTGAGGAGTTATTTTCACCAAATTAAGTTATTTTCACATCTTGTAAAGTTGTATTAACTAATGTAAGTTCTAAAATAACCACACCATAAAGTTTAATTTAACATCGGTGGTGATTTTATTAACCACGGTGTATGGTTACGCACACTGAGCATGCGCAGAACAGAAGTGTCTGTGGTTCCCGGGCAGTTGCAGCTGCAGTCTTCTTTGTCATTTGCCCACCATTATTTGACTCTGCTTTTGCAGTTTTATTGGCCTCGCCTACGCGAGGTATAGGTAGTTGTTGTGTGTGTCTGTCATTCATTCATTCATTCTGTACAACTGAAATTTGTTTTTAATAAACAATAACTTTAGCACAGCGTGTTCTAAGCTCCTAGATCTTTCTTTTTTACGTGGAAAAGTCTTTCTTAACTGTTTTTTGTTGCTCAAATACAAGTGCTAGGTACAGAAGCTTCAAAGTAAGAAAATCGAGTAGTTGGGCCAAGTTCCGTTGTGTTGGCACTTTAGAGATAGCTGGTAGCATTTTTCAGTAGATTAGAACATGGCCTTCAAAAATTATGAACAGATTTCTCTAAATCTTACTTGATGAAGAGTTATACTTACTTGAAATTGTTGAGGTCACTCGTTTGTGCAGCGCTAGAGCAACAACTTGCTGGGTTATAGGTACTAAAGTACCTATACTATCTCAAATATACAAAGGCAGCAACTTTTTTTGTCAGCAAGTTTATCATATATTGC